CCCCCCCCCCCCCCCCCCCCCCCCCCATCCCTCCCTTCTGTCTCCATTCTGTCATGGGGGAGAGGTGGCATTTGTTATGTGGAGAGGCTGACAGCTCTCATGCACATCAGTCTCGCTGCCACTCTTCCCCAGCCGTCACCATTAGAAAAGAGCACATGCCCGAGACCTGGCACAACTTCAGAGGAGCTCCTCCACAGCTTCTTTTTTTTTTTTTTTTTTTTGTCGCCTACAGAACATGCTGAAGGTGTGCATTGGAAGTGTTTGTGACAGTCATTTGAACGGAACTGAAGTGCGGTTCTGTTTGGCTGATTCTAATGCATCTCAGATGGATCCCATTACCTGCCTAATAGTAGCCACATCCTGCCATGCATTTCTTCTTCTTCTTTCTTTCTTTTTCTCAGGCAGCACACTGCACCTTAGCCCTGCCAGCCAAATGAGACAATCTTATCAGCACTGCCTGGCCTCCCTTTATATTCAAGGACTCTTAACTGGAGGCTGATGCTATTTCGGTCTTGCAATAAAGTCAAATGAATCTGTGGGCTGTTTGTGCTATTATGTGCTATTGTGCAAACCTATAAATTGTTAGGGAAGACCGTGTTAGCCCTCAGAGAGCCCTTTCTTGTTCTCCTATGCAGGCCTTGCAAGTTGCCAGTTTGTTGCCATTTCCATCCGAAAATGTTATGTTTGGCAGTATCATTTGCAAGTATTTTATTTACCTTTCTGCCTTGTCTGCGGTTTGCATAACAAGCGGACCAACCAGCAACCAGCTGCCTAATAACATGGCGACATATTTTGACATGCAGAACAGGTTTTACTACATGATACTATGTATTGTTTTGAATAAATACAGGCAAATATAACTACAACGTTGTCTTCTAGTTCATGGTTTTGCCATTTACAATGTTCCATTGTTGTGTGACGTCAGACGGATGGATTTGCCAGGATTCTACCGGAGTTCCGAGTTGTCTTGAACGCAGCATTAAAGCTAGCGTTGGCAACATTGGGGAGACCGGCAAGAGTACGCTAGATTTTGAAAGTATCAAACTGAAAAACCTAACAGTGTTTCTAATGAAAGTCCTGCAACAGCCACACATACCAGATTTAAAAAAAATATTTGGTAGAGCATTTGATTTATTGATTGCTGTTGTTTTTTATATTCTATGGTGATAAATGCCCTCTTATTTTCCAATAAATTAAACACCTGTTAACAAAACACTGAGGCAAGCGCCTGATTGAAGACAGGAGTTGGTGTGGTGATACCTTTATAATTTTGGATCTGACGTACCAGCAGAGCCCTGCCCAGACATGAAAGGACAGTTTAAGGCATAATTAGCTCGGGTGGCTAATGCTTCCTCATTGGTTTAATGTAATCAGGTTGTGAGGGCATCTCATAGTCTCCTTATTGGCCTAAGCTGAAACAACTCACTGACTCCGTTTCTGCACTCCTGTCCATTGGCAGGGCTTTGCACTGCGAGCCCGAAGCTGACTTTTAGTTTAATCAGAGCTACTTGCTTCCATGTCACTAGGCTGCCACAATCGTCCCTTTATGTCCAGGCTGTCCTGGTTCTCATGCTCCACTGGTCCAGAGCCAGATCCTGGAGGTGGAGCTGAATGGGAGGAGGGTGAGGAAGGACCATAACCAGTTCACTGCCACTGGGCTCAGGAGGGATAAAGGTAGATGTACAAAGGTTAATACTTCGACAAGCAAAGCTAAACCCGGAGCCCTAGGATGAGACAGTAGCCTCAAAGTGGGGGGGGGGTGATGACCTGTTGGAGGACGTTGCAAAGTTATAGATAGTGATGGACAGAGATGATTGTCAAAGTACTGCAGAGTAGAGACCAGCCTTCAGCAGTGAGCTGTTAACGTCCGTCGTGCTTCCCCTCTGGCCAGCCAAGCGTCTGCATACTTCTCTCATACGGTCACTGAGAGGAAGCAGATGAGAGGAAATTATAAAAGCTTCAGAGAAAAACACGATTCCTTGGTTAGTGCATGACATTCGTTCTGGGGCTTTGGTAATCTAATACCATGGCTGACATTTTGCGTGCCCTTAGAATTTTTTTGCAAAAGGCAGAGAAATAACCGCGTGACCGTCTGTAAAGACTGTATGAATTCATTTGGCATACCTTCCCAAGTGCTCGGGCCCTGAACAGCGTTGGAGATTTTTTAGATATTCCATACAAAACACAACAACAACAGCCTTAATGACCTTTAACAACAGTGGCACACATAGTCTTCAAACCAGTTTGGATGAGAATGCAGTGAAGCTCCCACAGTGACACATCCACAGGTCTTAAACTGGAAACAGTGAAGGCGCACACTGAATGCCCTTTGGACTCGATGGAAGCTCTGAGGAGCTCTGAACATTGTCTGAAATAGCAAACACGGATGATTAACACAGAGAAAAAAGAGGGGGAAAAAAGCACTTTATATGAGCGAAAAGAACCTAATCAAAAAGGCCACACTCCTTCATCCTGCTCCCTGAGCTCGTGCAGGTGCACATTTGCATGGCATTTACATGGCGGCTCGCGGTGACCACTCCCGAACGTCTCGGTGTCCGTCATCCGCTGACATTCTGTGATTGTTTCCTCTCTGCCGCGATTCGCCCCAATCAGCGGAGGATATAGTGTGGTTCCAGTGATTATAAGGAGTGATCAGAGCGGCGATGATGGAGCATGTGCCT